ACAAATAGGATGGCTAAAAGGAAAAGGTAACAAAACAAACAAAAAAAAAAAACAGCTAGATTCCAAGACAAATGTAGAAAACTAAAAACAGGAACATGTCTGCATTGGACCCTGCCAGGTGTCCAACAGATTCTTAAAGACACTTAGAGAGGTCAAGGTCGAGAGCTTCAAATCTTTTTGTAAGATATTCCAGGGAACAGGAGCGGAATAGGAGAAGGCCCTTTTGCCTAGTTCAGTCCTCACTGAGGGAACACTGCAGGTAATGATGTCCTGAGAGCGCACGCTGTAGCTGCACTCACACAGACATGTAGGAGGAGATGTATGAAGGCAGCAGACCAAGAAGTGATTTAAAGATGAAAATGTACCAGTGAGAGAGTCTGCGTGAAGTTAATGATGTCCAGTTAACCAGTGAATACTGGGTACAGTGGTGGGTACGATAATCACAGCCAGTTATGTATGAATCTTAGTGCACCATGATAGACAGCATCCAACATCTGCAGGGTTCTTGTAGGAGCGTTCATGTAAATAATGTCACCATAATCAATTGAGGGAAGGAAAGTCACAGATACAAGGCGTTTTCTAGCGTTCAGGGTTAGACAGGATCTGTTTCTGAAAAAGAAACCCAGTTTAACTTTCAGTTTCTTTATCAAGTTTTCCACATGGAGCTTAAAAGAGAGATGTGAGTCGACCAAGATACACAAATATTTATAGGAATCAACAAACTCAATGGGGACACCATTTGAGGATAAAATCGGAGGAAGAACTGCTGGGACCAACTTCCTATTTGAAAAAGCATCCCTTTGGTTTTGTCGGCATTTAGGACAAGTTTGAGGCGGAACAAATCAGTCTGGATGTAGTTAAATGCAGATTTCAAAAGCTGGAAAGCCTTAGCAACTGTTTTAGCTCGACAATAAACAACTGTGTCATCAGCATAGAAATGTATGGATGCATTAGGGATGTTTTTACCTACATTATGTATGTAGATTGTAAAGAGGGTGGGTCCTAAGACTGAGCCTTGTGGTACACCATTGTTGACTGTTAAATAACTGGAGGAAGTACCATTATGTTGAACACATTGAAAAGTAAATATATATATATTTTTTTTTTGCAGTTCCAGTAACTGTGGCCCCCTGAACAACTGAGTTGAATAGTTCTGCTTTAAAGGGTGGAATTCACTTTATTCCATTTCTAAAACCTAAACTGAGTCTGGAAAATTGTAAAAGACGGATGAAGCCCAGTGGTCGACCTCATGAGCAGCCGATTACAACGGTTATAAACAGGAAGTACATGTTCATCTGTATGAAGGTAACTGCAAGTAAATCCTCCATTTTCTGTCGTAATTACATTGTATGCTTAATGATAAAATTAAAGGTTAATGCTTATAGTTGTGCTTTGTTTTTGTGTGTTCTGTGTGTAGATATATGTTGTAACTTCTGGTTGCATAAGTTTAGTCTTTGTTATGATCAGTTAACACTAAAATGATTTTGTACCAATCGTTTATTAGGTTGTGCAATGTAAAGCAGAGCGCTACGTCTGTAGCATTTTAGCTATCGCGTCTGTATTGCACGTCGCTAGCTTAGCGCTACTTCTTGTTGTGCCGAACTTTCTAAAATTGTTATTGAATCAAGTGTTTACTAATGAAAATTAACTTAGATGTTTAACAGCCCATTAAAATGCACCACAACGCAGGAAATGGCATCTACTTTATTCAAAATTTTCTGGGGGAGGACCCCCAGACCCCTCCACCAGTGTGTCGTCACCCCCTCACCCCCCACACACACATTATGAATGCCATTGACACCAACAGACACCATGTTATTCAAGCCAAGAGCCATTATCATCACTGGGGGCTGAGCACCCCTAAAGGACAGATTCTAGGATCGCCCCTGCTACGAAATACTTATTCATACAAATTCATCCTACTTACGCCGCTTTATTCTACCATGTTGTCGTTTACTATATTTCTTTTGGACCTTGTAAATATTATATTTCTTTTCACTTTTTGATACTTTATTGTGTAACCTTATAGTATTTCTTGTTAATTGTTTTTATGTTTGTTTTTTGGTTGTTGTTGTTGTTGGTTTGTTTTGTTTTTAACGAGTCAAATCGATTTTTCTCATCGTGAACATTTCTTTGCATCGTTGACCTTGTGTTAACCTGCATATAAATAAACAGCACAACATAAAATAAACAGAGGCTATTTTACAAAATATCATCTGTAACAGGCGCGAGACGTTTATAGTTCAAACTGCACTCGTTGCTCACCACCGTTTGTTTACACGCCTTTTCATGTTAGCAAAACATAACGTTAGATGGGTTTTAAAGAAAGCAATAATTGGACAGGCATAAATAACTGATCAACGTATGGAGTCAACGCCAGTCAAGATGGCTGCAGCAATGATATGAAATGAAATACAACTCAGCCTATTTAACGGACATTGAGCTGAAAATTGGTGTTGTAGTTCACACAACATACTCCAAGTATGTAGTTTGTAAAACTTCGCCTCTAACTGTCTGTTAGCAGATACACATATAACTATAACTCACCTAATATTACATATACTGATCTAAAAGTTAGTGTGGTAGTAGCTGAGCATCATCCTCAATGCATATTTGAAGCACGATATCGTACTCTATATGTTGTCTGTCTTAAACAGGCCTCTCTTGAAAATGAGTCTGTGACTCAATGAGACCTGTTACAAATAATAATAATAATATAATTATAATAACTCTTAGTCTGGAGAAGTTTTAGTTTTCATATCACGAAACCATTTTTAAAAGAGTTCCCTTCAAAAACCTAAAATAATTAATCATGACATCAGGTTTACACCTGACATCAGAACCTTCCCAGGTGTTCCTTTAACGGCGGAGCCATTAATTGTGACGTTAATTTCAAACATCGCAGATGATGCTCCAGATGTTGTCAAAATCAGCGAGCAGATGCCAGCTGTGAGTTCTGGAAAGTTGCTTTAAACTTTAATATGAAGACATATTTTGCACTCGCGGTGCTGATGTGTACAACAAATAAAAGCAGCAAAACATGAATTAGTTTGTCTGTTATCAAAATATCACGTGAACCACTGGACAGATTTTAATTAAACTTGGAGAGTAATCATTGGATGCACATCTATTTAACCCAGTTCAAGATGGGTGCCACAACTAATTGAACTTAAAAATAAACAAAAAATGCTAAGATTGATGTAATTTTATGAATAATGAAATGGAATTTGGCATAGCTGTAGCTGAGATGCATTCACAACCTAAACTCACCAATGCCAATACTGGTATTGGTATTGGACCTGATACTGGTATTGGTATTAGGCTCAATACAAATACTGATATTAGTATTAAGCCCAATATTGATACAGGTATTGGTTTATGGCCAAGTATCAATGCTGGTAATGATATCTGACACTATAGTGATATTGGTATTGTGTCCAATAGTGATACTGGTATTGCTATCTGACCCAGTTCTGGTATTGGTACAGGACCCACAATTTATACTTGTATTAGTATCAGACCCAATACAGATACTGGTTTTGCTATCGGGCTCAATACTGATACTGGTTTTGGTATTGGACCCTACTTGTATTGTATTGGACCCAATATTAATACTGGTATAGGTATTGGACCTGATACCTATAATAGTATTGGTATCTGGCCCAATAATTATAATGGCATTGGTCTCGGACCCCATACTTATATTGGTTTTGGGTCCAATATTGATAATGGAATTTGTATCTGACCTGGTACTGGTATTGACATCAGGACCAACGCTAATACTGATATAGTTATTGGGCCCAAAACAGATATGGGTATTGGAATTGGGCCAAACATTGATACTGGTATTGGTATCAAGACCCATATTGGTGTCAAATACCTGAACATGTACATAAAAAACACTCCCAATACCTCATACTGATACCATTTTCTTGCTTGGTGACGGCGTTTCCTCTTCAGTTTTGTACCTAACCGAGGGCAAAATTTAAAAAATGTTAATAATTTGGAAATATTCTAAGATCAACAGAGGGGTCAAAGTTCATGCTCAATATCCAGGTATAAAATCCAATAATGGTCAGACAGGTCATCTGGACAGTTTCTTTTTTGTGGAAAGACTTTTCGCTCTCTATCTGGAGGGCTTCATCGGGAGTCCCAAGTAAACTGTTTTCCCCACTAAGTAGTACACTCCTTTAGTGGACCAACCAGTTTACT